AAATTAAAAATACTGGAAGGGTAGATGTATTTATATTTAATTTAATGTTTACTTATTGAAAAAACACGAAAATTATATACATGTTTTTTTAAAATATAAACAATAACATATTAAAATTTTAAATAAAGTTATTATGTACATTTTTATATAATGATAAATTTAAAATATGTGATACTTTTGTTCATGTAGTGCATCATAATTAAAAAGAGTAAAATTGAGAAAGAAGTTAAAAGATATCTCCAAGAAATCTTTAAAAAGTAAAAGGATAACTTTGATAACCTTACTAATAACTGGAAAGAAGAATATAGTTTCAAAAACTATATCAAGATATGATGGTATTAAAATTTCATAGATCCCATTTCACAAGAAGAATTGAGTAAAATACTTCAAAATACTTTTTAATAACAAGATCCCAGAAAAATTACAAATTGGTTATAAAATGTTAAAAAGTTAGACCATGAAGGAAAAGAATATTTAAGAAAAATATTAGACAATACTTATTACCATAAACCACTGTATATAATACTCTCCCTAAAGTAATACCCCCCCTTAAATAATACCCAGTAGTATTCAAGAAAATTGTTACTCAATAAATGATTACTACTTGGGTATATTAAGCTAGAGCCAATAAAATTACAATATGAATAGGCAAGTGAGAGATACGTCAGATGATAATAAGACACTAAATATCCTGTCATTTATACTACCTCCCTTCTAGTAGAATACACCCTCGGGTACTAATCAATTTATCATGGGGTAAATTGATTAATACCTGGAGTATTATATACAATAGTTTATGGTAATTTGTTTCAATTTTAATTAAATGTCAAGAAATTTTTCATATATTTTATTATTATTTTTTTATTTTTTAATTTATAACTATATCCGATAGTTTAATTTTTTAATTTTTTATTTTTTTATTTAACCACAACTGATATTAGATGTGAGCCTTTTATTAAAAATTAATTTAAACTTGGACACTTGATCCTTTGGCATGACACCAATTATCTTAGATAGTTATATACATGCAGATTAATGATAACCTATCGCGACTTGTCCTAGATAAGCCTACATATCACTTCGAAAATGGGACAGACTCAGCTAGGGACCGATAGTTGATAACAGTCTAATGACAATTTTTGGTATAGTTAGTAGATCTTACAATTGGACTCTATATGTTAATACCAACTTATACACTAGATTGAATCTGCGAGGATTAATTAACCACTCAGATACCTCGATACTTTCACTTGAACCTCAGAGGGAATTACGATCCTCTTTATTACCACCTGCGGTATCACAAACAAATCCTATTTGACAAGTCCTTCAATTAAGCAAGCACTAAATTAGAATATTTCAAGCTAGAATGGTTAGTTCCTGGAGTCTGCCAGTTCAGTATTGGTTAGAGATTATCAGATGATTATTGCAGTCCTAAAAGCGGGATCTTGGAATTTCTTTTCCTATCCAGTTCATGGGGATGTATAGGTGTAAGTTGTGTAATCAAACTAGAGGCCTTTTTTTATGCAATCCTCACGGTAGATTTATTTCAGCCCAGCGAGCAACAGGGAGGCCAGAAGTTCCATTCTTATGCAATCTGATTATTTTTCCTCATATGATCCTTAGGTGGTATTGAATTCTGGACCTTGTGATTGCGACCTGAGAGCACTATTACTGTGTTATAGACCCACAGGTCTCCTATAGTTTAAATTTTATTGAGAAGTTTATACTATTTATAATATTATAGATTTTTTTATATAATGATTAACTTATTATTATATCAAAGTACTTTAAGTTTGAACTAAGGAACAATATTTCACTTTTCTAAAGAATTGACATATATTTTTATCTATTAAATTTATCACCAACAGTTTATCACTATAGATTACCTGTAAATTATGAATAGTTAAGTTAAAGGAAAAGAGAATAAAAGAAATGAAGAAAAGGATAATTCACAATTCTATTAAAAAAATTAAAAAAAAAAAAGCAATTTTCCTTTTAAAAAGGATTTATTTGATTAAAATAGTTTTTTTACTTTTCTTGAGTTTTAAAAGAAATCTTTTTTATTATCATATTTAGTATTGGACAAGTTAATCTAACTGATTCTTTATTTAAGTAAGTATTGGACTGGAATATTTTTAGAAAAACATTCAAATCTTAACTTTTATCCAGTAAAGCTTTGTTATTATCTAAGAAATTTAGATAAGAAATAGGAATTTGCAATCTATATTACTTATTTCTTAATCATTTGATATTATGAATATCTTTTTTGAAGGACTTGAACTTCTGAGAAATATATGTTTCTAGAATCTTCTTTTTAATTATCAATAATATCATTGAAATTATATAAATATAATCAATATAAACTTGTTTATATTTCAAAAACTAATATATTTTATACTAGTCATTTATCTTTGATGAGAATTTAGACTACTTAAAATTTAGAATTAAACTGAAGTAGGCAAAATTTTTTAGAAAATTATAAAAATAAAAGCTTTAAGAGAGCTTAAACAGTTAGAAAGAAAGAAAATAAGTCTTTTTATTATAATCAAATCTCTATAACATTTTGTTTTAAAGGTTGAAAAAGTTTTTAAATACTTTATAATCAGTTTTTATTTTTTTTGAAAACTTTCTTGTCATTGGTATCAAAGATATTGCTTGATTTTTCTTGATTATTAGGAGTCAAATTTTTGAGCAAAATGATTTATAAATAATAGAAAAAGGATAAGAATGATTCTTGAAGTTAAATTTCAAGTTGTTTTAAGGAAAATATTAAGATTTTATTAGTAAAAAAGTAAAAAAACTTTTTGTAAACATCTCTTTTATATATGGTTAGAAAATTAGTGAAAAAAATTTGTAAAAAATTTTATCTTTCTTATAATTTATATTTTAATATTAATTTTTATTTATATATTATTATTATTTTTTCAAAGATGTAGTATAATACTATATATTTATATTATATAATATTATTCATATATTATTAATTAAATTTTTTGAACTTCCTTTAGCTATAGTTTTTAAATTCATAATATTTTATTATATTTTTTCAAATTTTTTGAAAAATTTGATCAATTTAATTGAAATTATTACTTGTAATACTTTTTTTATTGTAAAAAAAATATTTAGGTTTTATCAATTTAATTAAAGACTTGACTTAAAAAATTGATATTAGGTTTCTGGTTCTTATTATAATTTATTTTTTTGAACTATATACTGTATATAAAAATAAGATAAAAAGTTGATAAATGTTACTTATTCTTATAGTTTTATTGATTTTTTTTCAAAAAAATTTATTTTAAAAAAATTTAAATAAATAAATAATAACAATAGGATTGTATATTAATTTGATGTTATTAAAATATATACTGTAGATATTAATATATCTTGTAAACAAATTTATAATATAAGAACTATTTAAATCAAAAAAATAAAATACAATTCTTTTTATTTTATTATTCAATAACTGGTAATCAAATTTTAATTAAAAAATTTTTATGTGATGGCTTATGACTTAAGCTTACCAAGTGTTGCATTGATCAGTTTTTCAAAGTCAAATTGAAATTCTAATGCAAATAATTTCGATTATAGTGATAACCTTTGACCTCATTCAAATTGACTTAAACGGATAATAAATTAAACTTGGCAAAAAAAAGTTTTTTTAAATTTGGTCTGGTTACATCGAAATAATTGCGCCTAATCACTGAATCGGTAATTGAAGGTGACAAATTGTATATCTAAGTCGTCGAGATGGTAACGCAGTCCATGCATTGGATAATGATTCTTTACATGATTGAACAAATAGACCACAATAATTGGATGTTGAGATGAAAGTTATGTAATGAATGGGGCTAATTGTAACCAAGTACACATTATTACCGAATGCACATTATTGAAATTATGGCCTATCCATTTATATTATTAATTGGAGGAAGGTAAGTCTCAATGCTATGTTCAATGACCAAAGTAGGAATCGAATCAAATTCGGTTATGTTGTGTTACACATAAGATCTGATCATTTATCTCCGAAAATTTCCTATTCTTCTATGAGAGGTCGAACTCTATATAAGGAGTAAAATATCGCCAGCAAAAGCGCTCACCTTTTTTTTCTTTTCTAATGGACATCATTAAAGAATTGGCACGGTTTTATAATGAAGAACAACTTAAACATGTGATAAACCATCTCCAGAGGAAGATAGACAAGCAGAATTTAGATAATAGATGGAAGGATGCTTTGGCAACCCTCGAAGATGAAAGTCGATCGAGACCACCTTCGAAATTCAAGAACAAACAAAGAATTCGTAAGGAAACCCTAACCTTAAATAACCCATCTCACCATGGGAGATATCGACAACCTCAGGAACGGAATGTGACCAATTTTAAGGAAGATGACGAATGGTCCGTCGAAACTTTTACCGATGAACAGGATGCATCCAATTGCAAAGAAGCACAAGAGGAGGATAAATGGCCGGTCGAGAGGATTACCAATGAACAATGTAGGGACATAGAAGTTAAGCTACAAGAATTACGCAAGGAAGTCAAAGTTCTTGAGCCGACGGTAAAGAACAAAAAATTTCCTGTCAAGAAACGATATCAAGAAGAGTGGTCCATTGCGGGACAATGGTGTGCACCATGCAAGAGTCGTTCCGAAGAACATCATGCACACACAATTTGCACCGAATGTGGAATGCTCTCCGATAAAATTCGATATCCTTTCGTTGATAAATGCGCGTGCAAGGATAGGAATGCCGGTAAATTCAAGAATGATAACAAATTCGCCAAATTTAAGAGGAAAAAGATGGTGAATAGTTGAGATGAAATTTAGAATTAACAACCACAAGATAATGATGTGAAGTCAATCCCCGACCAATTAATGATAATTGATTTTACACTGTTGTTTGGATTATTGATTTTGCAATTCACTTTTAATCTTAAAGCACAATGTTCAACATCCCCACATGTAAAATGCTTAAAAGAAATTTTGCTCCTTGATTTTACACCAAGGATCAACTGTTTAATAATAATATAGATCGACAAAATGCCTTTAATGTAACATAAAAGATGTACCTCACAAACATGTCATGCATAAAATTTGCGTTGTTTTATATACCTGCAGCTTGAGAATTTATTTTCGAACTTTTTAGAATAAATTTTGTACTAAATTAGTTACTAATCCGTAAACGAAGAGTTAAAATTATGGGCATATTCATCTCCTTGTTTGAAGGAGGATTTGGTGTTTCTATGAATGATCAAAACTAGAAATTAAGGAAGAAAAAAAAAAAAAAAAAAAAAAAAAAAAACCAGAAACAGAAACAAAAAAAAAAAACAAATCATCTTTTTAAAATTTAAGCGACGAAGCGAAAGAGACCTACCAATTGAATTATGCGATTACGTTCCTCGGGAGGAAGCAGTTCGATTTGTTGTTGCGTGAGACTCAGGACCTGAAGGATTAACGTCTAAATGAAATGATAGATAGATATACATGTTGTCAAATTTCATGTTACAAGTGATTTAATGTGCAGCACACAGATGACCAGATAATCGATTAGTGGAGAAGTTGACCGCATTTTGTTCTTGAATCCCCGAGTCTACAGAACAGTTCAACGATGAGTGATTAATAATGTTTCAAGGATTTCAAGCGCGAAAGAATTTTGGTTCAGATTAAATTCGTTGTAATTTACTCGGGTAGGCTCCGCCAACGCTAGTAGTCCCCGAAGTCATCCCACCAAGGTTACAGACTCCAGAAGGATTTCCAATGTTTAATGTCACATCTCGTTGGGAAGATTGGGCGTGAAGTTGTTGTGCAGGAATTTGCAAAGGGTGCAGTTGAGAAGGAAATAAATTGGGAGATTGTTGCATGGGAGTTTGTTGAATATGATTCGAAGTGAGCGGAGGATGCATCATTTGTGGTGCCGGTTGTAAGGTCGACCCAAACATGGTATTCTGCCGCTGCTGTTGCAGTTGTTGTGCAGTCAGAAAGTCATTTGATACGATATTCCCACAAGTATTTGCGTTCAAAGGTAGCAAAGAGGTCGTGACGGTTTTTGCAGCATTCACTCGCTTGAACATGATAAATACATACATACATACAGTACATACATACATATATATATATATTTTAAGTTCACACATCGTTCCAGTCGCCGATAAAAGAGTGCGAATGATTTTGATATAAAATGGTAACCTGCAACCATTCTTTTTCAACAAGACTGTGCTCTAACAGTGTCGAGAACATGTCTTGCGATAATCGAGGATTACTATTTAATAATTCCTTGGCTTGCATTTCGCTTTTTTCGAACAATAACTTTGGTGAATTTTCGAATGCGTGTAAGAATATATATATATATATATATTTGCAATAGAATCATTCTCACATAAAATACTGTCAATTCCACCTTTAGAGTAATCAAGGCGTCAATGAGTTGTAGCCGATTCATCCCTGTCTTAGACGTGGGTTCAACTTTCGGGGTGTTGATTTCCACAACGGAGTTATGTTGTTGTGCTTGGGAAAAAGCTGTTGACCCATCCTCCTTTTCGTAACGACTCTCGACCAGGGCCAAAGACGGATCGATGCGGTTCGCGATGAAAACTTTTAATCTTCGATCATCGATTTCGAGGTTATTCAAATTTCGCGTTGCGCTCACCGCTGCTTGTGAATCGTAATACTCGCAGAAGCCTGATTTGATCATGTCAAATGTCAGTTTTGGGTCTGACGGAAATGAATTCTTTGGATATTTTTTGTTGAAGAAGTTGAATCACCATAGCCGGCAGCCCTCGGTCCACTTTCATTATCAAACGCGAGACTAACAATAATAATGACGAAGATAATGATAGATGCCGTGCCATCAATGAGTTCCCTTGCGCAAAAAAAAAAAAAGTTATTGTTTGATAGTGAAAATATTGCCAACCGAAAAGACATCACCGGTCCAATTTTTTGGAAGACGCTCTTTAAGATTTCTTCTTTGACACCGCGAGGGATATTTTCGACTAGCGTGATTAAAAGAATTAATTAGAGGACGGAATTATACGAAAGGAAGAAACTTATTTATCGTGGTAAGGCGAAAGTTATTACTTTGCACGACATTTGAACCTTCAGGGATCATCTCGAGAGATGTGTTGCTGATCATTTTTTTTTTTTTTTTTTTTGGAGGCGGTAAACGAAAAGATGATCACATGCTCAAAAAATATCCCACGGCCCCTTCGGTTATTTCCTAATTCTGCAAAGCTAAGGCAAATCAAAAAGGTGCAAAAGTTCGTGTAGCATATGTAGCCTACAACGTTCTTTGGATATGCTTTTTTCATTATCATAATTATTATACAGTATGAGTGATGAAAATATTGTTTGTTTTTAAAATGAAATTTAACATTTAACCTTACCTTAATAATTAATCGCGGGATAAAATTGTCAGGGGTTGATGATTACATTATGCAGTAATATTAACACATGCGTAAAAAGTTTCGAAAATTTATTTAAATTTCGGCTCCGTATTATATAACACACACTTTTTTTTTTAACAATTACCTATTGTGGTGGCAGTGACATGTGACTCGATATAGACGATATGAAAGATCACTACCAAATAATATAAATAAATAACCCTATGTCGCCATAACCCGTCAGTTGACAGATAATCTAATCGAGTGGCGAATTTCAAGAATTCCATCACTCTTCTCCACTGTGTGAACGGACCCTCTGCTGTGTAAACAAACAAAATGTCAAATTCTCGAATTCTTAATTCAACATCTCTTTTCACGAAGGGATATCGACCAATACGTCCTGAAGCGCCGAACAATGCGTTTGAGACTGAAGCAAACGACGACGATGCACTGATTCAGAAACCTGAACTACCTAAAGACCCTTATAAATTTGTCTATTTCATTTGTTTCATGCTAGGAACCTCTATGCTTTTGGGATGGAATGGTGAGTAGAGCTCAAGGAACAAGAGGTCGTTTCGCTCTTCCGGTCACAAATTAAACCCCAATTTTCCCTCGTCAGTGTTCATTACCGCCGCCGTTTTCTTCCGTTCTAGATTTCTCGGATCCCCTTATTCTGACGATTTTCAGAATTACTTCTCGCTTTCCTACATGAGTTCAAACTTCCTATTCCTTGGACATGCCCTGTTTTCTCAACAAAAAGTCGGTTTCATGTGATCCACGAACCTCTATATTTCGGTATTGGACAACTATTTTAAATTGCTAAAAAAAAAAAAATTTTTTTTTTTCTTTTTTCTTTTTCTTTCAATTAAAACAGAACAACGAATCTCGCCGAGTAATTATCGCACTCGTCATATCGACGGCGAAATTTTTATTGGTGGCAATATCTACTCAGTACACCAATATTTTCTCTCCTTCCGGTTACTTTTATTTCATCATTTTCCTGATCTTCACCGATGGAATTACAACCTCCTATCAACAAAATGGTGTGTTTGGACTTGTGTCCCATTTCCCCCCAAATTACATTCAAGCCGTAATGAGGTAGATTCCATTTCACGTACTTTGTTTGAAGCTTGCAAACATTTGTGACCATTAATTCAAACCATCAAACTCGCGCAACTCATCGGTACATAGCGGTCACGGTACATTTGCATATTCATGCTGTATGATCCTTTCTCACGAAATTGATAAAAAAATTCTAATCAATCAATCACATCATACAATAAATGAATTTCAGGACTGGCGGGCACGGCAGCTGCGCTCGCTCAGATTTTCAGTGCGCTGGCGGAAAAGCCAGTAAGCGGCAATACGTTACCATCTGGGGATGAGTTGGCACGTAGTGCCTACATTTACTTTTTCTTTGCCTTCACCATTTCCCTCTTCGCACTCATTTCATACCTCCTTCTTCTTCGATCCCCTTTCTATCGGCACCACATTCCACTAAAAAATACGGCCCCAAATCAACCCATTATCGACAGGCCCCTACTTGATACATTCAGGAAAATTCATGTACTTGCTTTCGCGATAATCTTTGTCTTCATAGTGACCTTGGGTGTTTTCCCCTCTCTCACCTCTTCCATCAAGTCTGTGGTTGAAGATGAAAAGAAGAATAATCTCCAAAAGGATTATTTGTTTATACCGCTGCATTTCTTGGTCTTCAACCTTGCGGATTGGCTTGGTCGAAATCTGCCGACAATCAATTTCCTGATAGTAACTGATCGAAGGAAGTTAGCAATAATGTCGATTTGCCGTGTCGTCTTCATACCAATCTTTCTGTCATGTAACGTGGATGCTGGCCTCAACGGCCACAGAATATTTCCATTGTTAGTGAACAATGATCTGTTGTATTTCTTTTTCTTATCGTTGTTCTCGATCTCCAATGGGTATTTGAGTTCGTCGATAATGATGGCTGGACCTCAAGTGGCGAACGTAGAGAAAGGCCTGGCTGGTACACTCTTGACTTTTTGTTTGGTTGTAGGTCTAACCATCGGTTCCATTGTTTCATTTCCATTGCGATATCTTAGTTGTGGTGGTGGATGCTAATATACATACGTACATACATACATACATACATACATACATACATACATACACCATTAGTTTATAGTGCAATGCATATGATGCTAACACAACACACTAACGCTTTACCATAATTTTTCTTGTACATTGTTATATTATTGTCAACTTGTATTAATAGTAATTTTTCTTTTTTTTTTTAAAAAAAAAGAAAAAATAGAATAAAAATAAATGTAATCCCTAGCATCAAAAAGAATATTTCATCAGAAGCTTCTCTCCAGCATAATAGATGTCCGCGTGCATCCAATAGTTCTTACGGTCACCTATCACGTGTTGCGATACACAAAATTTCCTGTGTAAGCACATGCGTGACTACGATTTCGATCGAAATTAAATTTGCCTATTGCGTGCATACGCTGCATAAACAAAAATACATGATGTATGCCACCTTTTTCAACTTTATCGAGAAGGGGCTTCAAATATAAAAAAAAATAAATAGTCCCTCTTTTTTAAACCGTAAATCCCTCCTTAGGAAGAATTCTGTATTGCGAAAATTTATGGGAATTCCGTTTGGTAATTTATCGTGGACATGACTAATATCCCTGCGTGATAATTTGTGCTACTTCCATGTTAATTTTTGCTAAAAACCGTATGAAACATTTTTTCGAAACGCCAGTAGCGATCGCAGGATTCCTTTCTGCTCAGACCAAAATCATTTAGCGGCTTTTCCACCACACACATATAAATACCGGAACCCCTGATAGTCAAACTCTGTCATATCTCCTCTTCCCGGTATATTTACCTATATTTACCTTGGGCCCTACTCATACAAAAGAACACACGCTGTCGTCGCAATCGCGGACCACCTACTACTCTTTGAAAAAAAACACGCACCAACAAACTCGGGCAATTTCGACTGAAATGGAGAAAAAAATGCGACCGAAAAGCTCCACCAAATTGGAAAAATTGCATGAATTTGCTAAAAAGGGTACACACCATAATTCATGTTCGACAAAAAAAAAAAAAAAAATGTGACCGATCAAAATTGATTTTAATCTTTCATCCTCGATTAAAAAGGAGGGATCGGAAAATGCATCGCAACCCGAGACACTCTAGCAAATACTCAGGCCGATTTGATGTTTTACAGTGGTAGGAGCGTTTTTTTCATTTTTTTTTTCCTTGCCGACCTTATTTCGTTGCAAGAATCCTCACTCGATAATTCTTAGGAGAGGTGATCACTATCCTGAAGCACCTTAAAGACGATGTCTATCTCGTAAGTCTCGGTCGATTGTTGCAATCAATCCAATGGTGCAGATATTAATCATCAAACCCTGTTACGCCTTTGCGGATGCATTAATTTATCAGGGGTACTGCGAAGGTGTGATTGGTCGGTTTCATGGAAAGGATGTATCATTCAACTATGGGCAATCGGATACGCAGAAATCTGATGGCCGCATTACTTCAGTTTCTCCTGATATATCTACATCAGATGACGGGGATAAAGGTTCGCAGGGAGCTCCTCATATTGTCAACTTTCTTAGCCCCTCGGATGCCGAGCGCGCAATTCAGATGAGGTCGAGATCCTCATCAATATCATCTCTTGAACTAGGTACCACGATACATCGATTCAACATTAGCTTCCGACATTTGTCTCTCATTATCAATCGAATTTATAATTTTCAGATTCTGAAAAGAACACTCCGTCCACATCGGTTCCATCATCACCCGTGCTGACGCCTGCAATTAACATCACTCCAAGTTCCACATATGATGATGTTAGTATTACTCCCCCAACGTTGTCTGAACATTTGCATAACAAGGACGTTCAAAATTCATCATCATCATTTAATAGTAATCCCGATAAATCACAAACATCTCAACGCGAAACACCTCAAATTTCAAATGATCAATTGTCACTATCAAATCGAGCACAAAGTGATTCCCCCTTGTCATTAAATAATCGACCAGCAATCTCGTTCCATAGTCAAAATGTTTTCCCCTCATCAAGTAATCAGATAAGAAAAATGTCATCTCCATTTCCGTCGTCAACCCGACTTAGCCAACTGGCGATTACAAAGCGGAACAATTCCGCACCCCCATTGACCAATGATGATGAGACCGGCTCAAAAGCATTACCCCACGATAACTCCGAATCAAGTGCACTTCCATTAAAGCAAAAGTCGGAGCCTTCGATCTCCGATGATCAAATTCGGCCGGCACAATCGAATAACATAGGTTCGTGAGACTTCTCGATTGTCCGTCTCTTAAAAAAGAGTAAAACTCATAAAGTCTTTCGTCACTTTCATGATAAAATAGTTCAAATATCCGACGGACATGCACCCGCTACTTTAAGATCGAAATACAATCCCGGTGTGGGGGGTATCGTCGATTCACCGACTTCTTCTCCGAATTCATCTCCCCGTGTTAGCAGCGATATATCAGCGACAACGCCCAACGAATCACCGAATTCCGTTCAACTTAAAGGAAGATCTCGGGCGGTTAATCAAGAAAGCGGGTCACGTCCGGTCCACAGCAGGCAACCTTCGGCATCGAACATGGCCGGCACTTTGCCGAGGCCTTCCTTACGCACGGAAAATTCAAAAATCGGTGGTACTCATTCCAACCATTCGCCCGTCTATTCGACACCCCTACGCACCTTTGGGCAATCACAATTGAGCCCGGTTATATCGGAATTTTCACTGATTATACCCCCACAGCGTAAAAGTTCCATTGGTTTGCCCAGCGAATTATCATCCGTTAGCTCACGCCCGCAGGTGATGAATTTTAACGATCGATGTTCACCCTCCACCACCCCCCTACCTTCACCTGTATCGCAAAAATCAAGGTTCCCCTCTGATTTGTCGGGTACGATCAAAGCAAATCAAGTCGTTATGAAAAATCAATCGTCACCGCCTGCGCCTTGCGTGCCTCAAATATTTGTCGGAAATGAAGACATCATGGACAATGATTCTTCTTCTGCAGACAAATCCACATCAACTGTTCCTCTCGTATCAATTGATCAAGAGCCGCCCATGCCAACCTTCATGATAGAGGCTGCTAACGATACAGACGATTTCAGCTCCGAGGATGAAGATGAGGAACCCGTAAAATCGGAAGATATACCATCGTCACAATCTAAAAAAGACAAGGTTCTTGCTGTTGATGAATACGGATTTGTGCATGACGTGGCTGAAAAGGAGGGCGCTGATGGCATCCAAAAAATGTTTGTGATTCATTCATTTAGATTCCACGCCTCATTCATTCTTTAATTTACCGGTTAAACTTTGGTTTCACTCAATTTCACAAGCAGTATAAAAACCCCTGGACGCTCGGAAAAGAATTCGCGTACTATCCGCCTATACCGGGAACGTGAATCTAAATGGGTTTACTTCCTGGGAAACATGGACCCTGCGCTAGCGAAAGAGTCCAAGAAGGTTCGACAATTTATTTTCAAGGCGACATTGTTCTCGTAATATGAGTTTTGCCGCATATATTCATAATCATAATCATTGTTGTTGTTGTTTCATAGATCAAGAAATTGGTTCGCCTTGGTATCCCAGAATCTGTCCGTGGAAAATCTTGGCAACTCATGGCTGGTGTTCATAAATATCGGAAGGCGGGAGTTTATGAAGTAAGGTTTTCAGTTACTTACGTTCGTTTTTTTTTTTTTTTTTTTTTTGTCGTTGTTGACTTGAACATTTTTTCTGCATAGCAACTATGTAAACGAGAAAAGCTTCCAATATATGATGTGATAGAGAGAGATATTAGTCGATGTTACCCTGACCATATCCAATTCCGT